TGGTAAACATCAGATGACCATACCATGCCAAATTTTGACATTCGGGTGATCAGTAACTGGTTAATTTATTATATGCATTTGAGAGAAAAGCCACTGCATGATGTAAATATTGTATTTTTTTCAAGCCAACAGTCTTAACATGTTGTAAATCACAGGCAGTGCACAGAAATGTTAGGTATATGGACATAGCTGTTTGTCACTGCCACTCTTGGTGAGCTAATGTGTTCACAGGCCTGGTGCATGTGTTTCACCACCTCAAGTTACCTGTACAGACTTAAAGTATAACTGACAGGCTATGTATCTTCTTATAGCCACTACAGTCCATTGATAACCAAAAACGACAAAGCAAATGTGGAATGAAAAACACCCCATTAACTGCGTCATATAGTGGTTCCCCTATACACACACATGCAGACCTGAGATCAGTCCCAACCGCGGCGACAAGGCCAGAAAATTAAATAAAGAAGAACACCGTACGTATAGCTAACAGCTATGTTACTTAGCACAGTTTTAAGTTGAAGCGGGTTGACTAATGGCACCAAGCATCCACCAAAGAACTGCGTGTTCTCTCTAAACGATCACCTTGTGCAGAATCGGATAGCTTCTATCAGCACTCCTGCGGCGGCTAACATTAGCTTACGATTAAACCCAAACACCTGATTTAAAGAGCCACGATTCCCTTTAAAACACCGCTTTGGCAACGTTAACACTTCCAAGAGCATCGTTAACATAATACAACAGCACGCTAGCATTACGTTACTAATGATCAATCATGTCCGTATAAAATCTTTGCTATCACTTAAACTAGCGTAAGATAACACGCAAGCTAGCTAGCTAAGTTAGCTAAATTGCATAACATATTTGCAAACGCTGCTGCTAACAACCTCAAGTCGGACATTAACGTTAGGTCTGAAAATTATTACGTTTAAGTTAGGCTGTGGCTTGGCTCTCAATAAATTTGGTTAGCTTTTGGGTAAGTCGATATATTTAATTGAATATAAACTCATAAATGTCACTAATTACGCTATCTGTAACGTTACCATAGTAATAACTTAACGGTAGCGTGCTAACGTTCGTTTTAGCTTTTTTTTTTCTGCATACAACCCAAGTGTTAAATGTTTGTTTAAGGTAAAGCTACATTAGTTGCAGTTATCTGACGTCTAAAATGTGGCCTACCGTCAATGTAGGAGTGTTTTCAAACCATTTTATCATTAGCTAGCTGTGTTAGCTAACTTAGCTACATAGCTAGCAAGCATTCTCGACAAAACCCGCTGACATTACTCACCCTGAGCGTTGGCTGACATGGTGCAAGGCGCGTCCCGCTTAGAGTCTGCCTACAAAACTGGAGTGTGCATTTAATCGTTAGTATTTCACCATTTTAACGGTACAATACGTGGGACTAGCAAGGGAACGGCTCCTATGCGGCAGTGATATCCATTCACGACCAGAATACAAACATGGCCGAGCTGTGTTTGCTGCGATGATGCATTGTGGGTGGGAAACACCAGCTCCCCCGATCGGTTTGCTGCACAAAGCGAGCTCCTTGGCAGGTCAGGTAAACACACTGGCTCATCAGTAAGTATCTGACGTGTATCTACCCTCCACAACGACATGAGTCCATTGCAAGTGTTTATTGTGGAAAATATGTGTGTTGTAGCTTACATTTAGATAGGCCATATTGTTGATTAAATATTGCCTGCATTGCCTTACCTGGCAAGAAGAAACTGACACCTATGATGACTAAGTCAATTCCTGCAAAAACTTAGAAATTCTAGTAGGCCCACAGGTGGATATATATTTGTGTGAGTATGTTTCTTAACCCCTGGGCTGAACTGGTATCACAACATATTTTTTGCATATACAGTAAATGCCTTGCACTCAAGTTTAGCATGGCCCTTGGTGTAATTGTGAGTACAGCCAGTGGCTTTATACAATATAGGATTTGCCTGATATTTTTGTCAACTCATTACTCTTCGTTTTGGTGAACTTGAGCTCAGCGGAGTGGGTGGATTCAAAGGTCTGAACCCCAGCAAATACAAGGTTATAAATACAAAGATCATTTAAAGAAATCATGGTTGCAATCTAATAATATGACAGCCATCTGCACATTCAGTATTACTTTGTTCTCTGGCTAGTTATTCTGTAGTCAGCTCAACCTCATTCAACTGCACAGTATGAAGTTGGGATCATCATCATGCAGGGTTGACTGGCACCATTTAGGGCTCATAGATGAGAAATATTGTAGGTTGTCCATACAGTGGGGTTTCTAAACTAGACAGTTTTTGTGTAGAGTTGTGTGGAGGTGACATGAGTTTGACACATCTGTATGGACATAACTCAGTCTAGTTCCACATTTACTAATAATAATAATAATAATAAAGCAATTTTATATAGCGCCTTTCAAGAAACCCAAGGTCGCTTCACAATTGCAAACAACCACAAAATCACACAGACAACCACAAAATCACATGACATGAAAGAACAGAAAACACAACTAGCTGGCGAAAGCCAACAGGAAAAGGTGCCTCTTTAGAAGCAAGTTTAATTGCACAACAGATCTTTCCACGTAAACCCTAGAAACTGGTCGATTTAAAAAATATGGCAATGCTTGGTTGCAAGTTGTAGTACCATAGCAAGTATGCCATATGTAGAAATGCATGTCCTTGGTCAAATTGGCAATTCAAAATGGTGCTTAGTCTTTATTCAAGTCACTCCTTTGATTTTTCTTCCCTGTAAGGTCAAAGCCTTTTTATCTCTGAACAAGTTTTTTCCTCTTTCGTGCTTAAGTCTGGGAAAGTTGTTGTCTGAGTCTTCAGCTAGACTACAGCAGAATTCTAACCCCTAAATTCCTCCTGGGCTGACAAACGTCAACAAAGACCCTGAGAGACACCAAAGAGAGGTGAGCAGTGAACTGAAGCCTCATTGTATTGGCTCATTATGGGGTCCCGCAGTGAGGAAGAAGCTATTTTGTAGCACCACAAGGTCAATATCTGAAAGCCAGAGCGATGGAGGGGATCAGCCATGAGATTTTTAATTTGAGAAAGCGTAAAGGGGTTTTCCTAGTGAAAGACAGTGTGTGAATTCTAATGGACTGTGGGGATTGTACTGAAAAGATGTTGAGGTAGCAAATGTTTTCTTTGTCCTTAAAAGTAGTATGAAATTCAATGTATCCACAGTATCGCAAGCTCTCAGACACTTCCTTGTATGTCATGTGCTGTTATTCCTGCATTCAAGGTATCAGGCAAAATGTATAGTACTGTACAAGCTAAATCAAAAATAAAAACGACAAGGGCCCAGTGCCAGTGCAGCTCCTTTATAATATGCTTTGTAAACCTTTTAAGAGCATCATGTTTTAGCTTCCCAAGCTCACATTTTTCATGCTGTATGTACCTGCACCAGCTTATGTATCCGGTTTTCTCCTTTAATTGAATGCAGGTGCAATTCATATCAATATGTATTCCACAGCTTATTAAATATTCCCCCTAAACAGCTGTTTCCAAAGCTGTATGAGATATTTCTATGCTCCCTGGATTCACTTTCCCAGGAATTTTGATTTTACTTCCAAATAGATGTGAAAAGGGGAGCTGTCACACTCTATTATGGTGACTTCAATGATTCTGTGCCCTATCCAAATCCAGCGGTTTTCCATAACAATGCAAATTAAAGGGTGCAAAGCCGAAGGAGACAAGACTTGTTATTTTCCATCCAAAGGACAGAGGTTCTTTACAACAAACTTGTGTGTATGGCTTTAAATTTAATTCAAATGCCAACTTGGAAGTTGTTTTGTGCGAGACAATGAGTTTTTGCTGTCAATTCATGAGGGTCAGCAACTGTCTTGAGAAAGTAATACTGGAGCTGTGGAGTGTCTGGGCCTGCAATGGATTATTTTGTAAATGAAAGATTTAATCAGTTCATTTTTAAAATCATTATGAACCGTAGTTCAAGTTGGAGCAGTTTTTGTAATGAGGGTAGGTCAAGGGAATGTGCAGCCGCATGGGCCAGAACTATTATAATAATATCAGAATACAGTAAGATTTGCTTTTGGGAAATGTCTTCATGTATGGGAGACTGGGGTGTGAATCTCATATTTTTCACCGCACATTGGTCAAGGATTTGACCTTTCTATTCTGAGCGTCCTTTATGCAGAAAGTCAAGTTATTAATTTTGATATCGAAGGACAATCCTACATTGCTGTGCAGCATGTATTATGTACTGGACTTGTTCCAGTAATGTACAAAATATTACTGGACATTATAATTGCAAAGTGCTCATTCAATACATATTAGAGTTAAAAAGGTCTAACATAACATTTTTTGTACATCTGTATGCAATAAATTAGAAAATACATTTAAAATAAATACATATATTGTTTCGCTATTTGTGCAGATAAATAGATAGACACCTGGGCAGCATGCATCAGTGGAGAAATCCTGATATTCATAAAACCTATTTTATGCTTGGACCATTGCAGCTATTTCAGTCAACCTTATGTAGTCATGTGCAACAAAGTATAGGCAAAATGGGTGCAGTTGAACTGGTGGGTTTGATGAATTAAAACAAACAGCAAAGTGGCCAAAGGAAAATCTGTGTGTTTCTTTTATAACCTGAGGTGATATGCTTTTAAAATTGTATATTTAAAAACAATATTCTGATTATTTTAATTAATATGATTTAAGCCAAGTGATGTGGAATTAATTGCATAATTTATGCACATATCTGGGTTAATAATATGTCTTTGTAATAAATAATACCATGCATCTGCACTGAGTGAATAGGCTGCAGTCAGTGACCCACATCTCAGTGCAATGAACTGCTTAACTCAGACTGTTGTTTTATTCAGTGCACTGTCAACAGACTGGTGAGGAGGAGGAGGGGGCGGGGTTTATACCTATCAGCCCACTGTGATTGGATACGAGATTCGGCTCCTCTCCGCCATTGGCTGCTCGCGCTGCCACTCTGGATATATTATCGCCGCTTCCCGCGCCATTCGGCGTGCACGCGCAAGCCAAGCAGGCACGTACCCGCTTGGAGACTGTCTGGAGTCTGTCTGAAATTGATAAAATTGGAGATGGAGTTTTTACATCTGTTTGCACATTTACAAGGAAGCCGCCTGTTGGGAATGGGAATTTTTGTTGCACTCCTCCTCAAATGCCTTCGCCCGCGAGCCGCCACGCTTAGCCCCAAAATATTTTTGAGATAAACGCTGTGAAAGTTTTTTCCTCCTGCAGTCTATCAGCAGACAGCTCTTTATGCACAGGTAGGTAACGCAGGCGCCTGAGAGCAAGTTGGCTAACACACAGTGGATACTGCAGCATTACACATACGCCAACAAATATGTTTATTTGTGACCGTTAGCCGAGCGTTTTTGTTCATAACACGGGTTGCTAGCTTAAAATATAAATTATCCTTTTATACCGTAACAAACTGTAAGTGCTCCGGTTAATTCTTGCTGTTAAAATAAGGCGTATGTTGCGCATTTTCTTATTTAATACGACTCCCAAACAGTAGCTATTTTGTTTTGGAGACTTGACCTCATTCACACTACTTCAGGAGGATGCGCAGGTGACGCACCTTTGAGGCACGTGAGGTTGTTGATTAACCCCACGCGCGCTTAAGCTACCTGTTACTCAACAGGCACCTGAGGGGGGATACCTGCCTGCTGGGCTCATCAATGCTCTGTTTAACCCTTTCAGTTATACCACCTTAATTTATCACAGCACCAAACAATACCTATTATCACACGTGCAGATAACACATCTAGACTAATCGGTGTGGCCCTGAGGTGACGTTATATGAATATGAACCCTGTATGAAATGCTTCTCTCTCTTCCTGCCCTTGTGTATGCTCTGCAGGGGATCAGCCGTCAGCCCTGGAGTTCAAGAGGAGTGCACCATCCGGAAGGCAGCCTGCACCAGCTCAGAAAGGTTGGTAGAGACAGGGATAGTGTGTTGGAGTGATGTAGGGGGATGCTGCATGGGTTTATAGGTTGTGTCAGATGGTTGCATTTATTAATTTGTCATGATTACATCTCCAAACAACAATTTTGAAAACATTTTGCTTGAACTTAAAATGTTTCAACTTCTCCTAAGTAGCCTCAAACTACAACAAAACATTTTTCCACACAGAAATGTCTGCTGCCTTTCACACTTAATTTAAATCTATAGCTATGACACACATATTTAAATGTAATTTTAAATCAGGCTGCATTGCCACTGTACATTGTTTTTACACATTCTCCATGGTTGAACCCATTTAATATATTTGGAAATGTTGCAACTTTCACCATGAGAACAAAGCTTTTTTTAAGAGCTTAATCGTCTTATGAATTCCCAACCAAATTTCTGACCTTTTGTGTGTCTTGTTCATTGATTAAAAATAAGTTAAATAGCCTACACAGTGTCAGTGTGCAACAGCCCATATGTACCTGAACTGCTGCTTGCTCAGACCCGTCTAGACGCTTTTGCTCTGTCACTGCAGTTTTTCGGCAGACAGTGCAGTCATATGACTCGGGGAGCCTTTTCCTCCCTCCTCCCAGTGTCTGCTCTTTTGGGGCAAGATGGCTGCTATAGCATTGTTGTTGTCCATGACGTATATGAATTGATGTGAACAGACAAAACATGGGAGACATGGGGATACATTACACTTCAATGAAAGAGGCCACAACAGCTCCAGCTCATATTGCACACACAAGGAAGTGAACTCTTTGAGTGTTTTTTTTTTAACCTAAATTTGTTTGCGTTTAGCTGATTGCATGATTATTTAATGGCTAGTTTACATCGTTGGGTCAACACAACTCAGTAGCTGGACAGTCCAAATGTTATTATATAATTCTTGATTTCATGGACATGCATTCGACTTGTTTTTCTACCACCGCGTGTCTGTCTGTTGTTTGGAGGCTTGGTAGCCATTTTGTCTGATTCATCACTGCCAATTGGTGCCAAAGGATTCCAGGGTATCCCCAGATTTGTTGGGAGCAGCCATAATGAGCCTGCACATTATTTAAATGTTTGCAGTGGCTTCTGATTTGGACATATTTGTATTCTGAATACAGTATTTTGCAACTATAGATACGTACAGTAGGTTTCTCTATGAAAATTGCAATATCTAAAATAAAATTTAGTCTATTACCCATAACTCAGCATTTTTTTACATGTGGCGAAGCACATTGTGAAGGCAATGGTGCAAACGAGTATCATTGTATGCAATGTGAAAGTATTGTAAGCAACTGCAAAAACAGTTTATATCTTTGTTTAAGTGATTATAAGTGGTGGATTTTAGACGAATTACTGCCAGTCACTGGATTTAGATCGCATTTTTCAGCAAAAGGAAATGGGAATTTTAACAGGTTACATTTTAGATATTATTATTTACGTCTGTGTTACTTTAGCCTTGACTAAGCACTATAATAATAGCCAGTGAAACTTAGATTAATATCATAATTTCTACCACAAAAACGCTATGCAAGATGATGAAAGATAAGCCTCTTATGTTCACCAAAAGTTCAGTTTTATAAACTGTAACCTCTCACTCAGTGCATTTGTTGAACGTCACTTTTTTATATTAATTGTTTCCACCTTAAAAAAGTCATATACTCTGCCAAGCATCGAGATGTGTGTTTTAAAAAGTCAAAGCACTTTGTTCACAGTCCAGTTGCTCACTGATGGAGAGTACAGACATATTAACTTAGGCCTCTCAAAGTGCTCCCAGCCTCATTCTGACATCACAAGTTACTTTCACCCAGTGAGTGTGTGATGTTTATCTGTTTGCCATATCAGTGACCAGCCTGGACAGATCTCTTCATTCTCACCTTCTCAGTGCATACTCGTCTGCTGTCAGACAGCTCCTTTAGTCTTGTCTCATCATATTCCTTTAATGGTTTTTGAGTGCTTGTTGATTATGTTTAATGTTGTACAGAAGCACTTAAAGAATGCAGTGTCTTTGCAGGGCCTGTCCCAAACTTGATCCAGTGTCTGACAAAAAAATGATTGGAATTGCAATCAGGAAGGTAAGAAGAAATGGAAAGTGGAGTTTTAGGGTCATGCATGTTTCTTGGGGTAACTTGTTGCAATTTCGAATTGTAGTCTCTGAAATATGTATTAGCACATTATGCCGTTTTGACTATGTGGCTTTCAGCATTGTTTTAAAAACATAAAATGATGATTATCCATCAAAAAAATCAGTTTTTAGTTTTGCATGTAGTTTATCAGATGTTGGTGATCATATGTTATTTGCAGCGATACTGAGTGGATGAGGATTTGCGTGCACATTATACATTAATTGATACTACGTTTAAATAATTCCTGATTTATGTGGTTTG